AATGGCCGGCAGTTCTATATTCTCAGTAAATTTCACAAAATCGAAAAATTCCATATATATCAAGCCATCAATCGTCTCTAGCTCAAAAGCTCTCATAGCGGCGGTTTAAATGTTAAAGCCCGTGGCTGTTTGAAATCGTTTCTTGTTTGTTTTCAAACGACTTGGGATGGATCGAATCGACTTTGGATAAATTATTATTTTATCAGTTTGTGGTATGAACGAAACGTTTTTCTTCTCGATAAAGTTCACTCAACAAATTTAGAAAAATTCACTTGACTTTTCACATGTGGAACGAACTGACTTTTTTGTGGAACGAACTGACTATTTTGTGGAACGATCTGACTATTGATTGGAACGATCTGACTTGGAACGATCTGACTATGGAACGAAATGACCGTAAATCCTCGAGGTGATTCACGAAAGATGCTGCATTTTCCAGGGTTGTTTTGGATATCGTTGTGTCAGGTTGTGACGAGGGTACACCAGCCAATAATTCTTCCATGGCGTGATTGAAGACATGTAGGGCGCACGCTATTCTCGGGATAAGTTCTGGCGTCTTTGATTTGGGTGGCACTTTCCCATCTCTGATGGCTTCATTGACCTCAGCCACGAACTCGTCCATTTTCTCTCTGAGTAGCTCCTTCCCTTCATCGTCGAAGACGAATTCAACGCTTTCGTCAATTCCATTTATGCTCGAACAGTTCAGAGAAGTCACTGACTACCTCGGTGGATAACTGATCGGCGGCTGTCTGCATTTCAGTAAGGGTCGGACGAAAGGCAAGGGGGGTGGCAAGAAGGATTCTGTCCACTAGGCCGTGTCCTTGATCCATGCGTGCGATCAATTTGGCAGCGTTGACCAGTTGCGTGGAACCAAGGAGACAGAAGGGCGTATTTGGAGGGATCACTCTGGTTTCCTCTGTAGAGAAGTGATATGAGCAGCGCTCGCCCGAGAAGAGTTTGCAGAGAAGCTGGACATCTCCGGTAGCGTTGTCTTCATCGGACATAAGAAGCTTGTTTATGATGTCGAAGACCTCTGGAGAGAGAATCATTCCTTTCCTCTTATTCGCAAGAAGTTTGACCAGTCCAGACGAGGTGGTCTTGCTAATGATGGCGTCAGTGAAGTCTAGATTTTCCAGTGGATCCTGGGCTGCATACTGGATAGCAGAAGATTTTCCTGTATGAGACAAAAGTAACATATTACAATTTGATAGGTAGCCTGATCAATAGAAGCTCTTTTAGTTTTTGATTGAACCGACAGCAAGAGTAAGTGCGGAAAACATATTGGCGTGCTGAGGGCAAGGTACTACGAGAAGTACAAGTGCATATAAAGAACATTCCAATTGAACTTACCCGTTCCGGGATATCCCACAAATATAGTAAATATGTTTAATGGTTGCTTGTGTGTGGTGATGTTAACTTGAGCGTTGTTGGACGCCAGTATGAATCCTGTAGTTGTTAGCAGCGAAGGAATAAAATATCCTTCGCAGCTTCCAACGGAGACGGCCTTATTCTTTACGAATTGATAAACGTCTTGGTTGGGAAATAGCTTCTGGTACGGAAACTGCACCGAATTCAGCCGTTTCTGAAGGTTGATCCATGTCTGTTCGTGCTGTTTGTTGAGTTTGGATACAGCGTACATTTTGATGTTGACGGCCAGAACGATTATTATGAACTGAAATTAGCCTGGACTGAGCAGGGAATAGCCCTTAGGGAGTAGTGCGGGCCGCCTTTGTTAGTGAACTTCATAGTATTGTATGGTTTGAAATAAGTTATTGTGTGCCACTTACAAGGTAATTGACTGCCCTATTCAAACGGACCCAATAGAGAAGGTGTGATATAAATGATTGAAACCGAGATGTAAAGGTTTTTTAAGACGCATGCCGAATTCAATGAAGGCAACAAATTCGTGTGAGGATTGGTAGTGTCGGGCGGGATTTTTTTCATTGAGAGGAGATTTTATTAACTGGAAAGGGCGGCGTACTTTATGAAACCTATTAGAAACGTTATTAGCATATTCAGTGAAGTGAAGTGACATCGATTCATTTGGTGTGATATATAATCGACAATTCCCGTAAAGTGAAAGGTCTGCGATAAGTGGAACTTATATTTTTTGCGTAATAGACATTGAAGTATGGACGATAAAGGAATACAAGTTGCAATAGGATCAAAACGTAGAAAAATCAATGCTGGTAGTCAAACAACAACATTAGAAACTCCAAAAGAGGAACGTGCGACGCAGTGCGGAATGTCTCTCACAGGGAGCTATGGTCGCAACTGCGAACACAAGAAGTGGCGATACGACAACCTGGTAGCGCGAAAGCAGGACAAAGAAATGCTGGTACACTGGTTAATGGATGAAGGGCTGATGGCGAAGGAACGTTCGTGTCCGATGTGTGCTGGAGAAATGAGTTTGACGAGGTGCGAGGATCGATCGGATGGTTTGAAGTGGGAATGCAGAAAGCAAGTTAACGGTAAAAGACACAAGGCAGAGGTATCGATTAGGAAAAGAAGCTGGTTCGAGAAGAGCAAGATGACCTTAGAAGAAATTTTGAAGTTGACATATTGGTGGTGCCATGATCTTGATCAGGCGCAAATAAAACATGAAGTAGGACTTGCTGAAAGCACTGGGGTGGATTGGGACAGCTTCTGTCGCGAAGTTTGCGAAATCACTCTACTGGAAAACAGTGACAAACTCGGCGGAAAAGGAAAAGTCGTACAGATCGACGAAAGTAAATTTGGCAAGAGGAAATACCCCCGAGGTCATCACGTCGAAGGCCAGTGGGTCTTTGGGGGAATCGAGGAAGACAGCAGGAAATGTTTCCTGGTGGCAGTGGAAAAACGGGACGAACAAACACTACTGCCCATCATCCAAAAATGGATTGAACCTGGAACTATTATTGTTTCTGATTGCTGGAAAGCGTACTCGAAACTTGAGACACATGGTTATGAACACCGAACAGTTAATCACTCAGTAGAATTTGTGAACAAAGACGGTCACCATACCAATAAAATTGAAGGTCATTGGAGGCATGCAAAGTGTAAACTACCTAAGTTTGGCGTTCGAAAGCATCTTTTCTCGACATATTTGGCGGAATTTATTTGGAGGTACATGCACCGCGATGAAGACTTGTTTAGTGTATTTTTGAATGATGTAAAGAAAGTGTATGCCACCAGTACAACAAAGCGTTAACTTTTCAAAGCATGTTACAAAATATTCCAATTGGCCACTCCAGAAAATACCATAACATACCATAATGCTTTTTGATTGTCGCCCCAAAGTTTTGCATAAGCATTGTCTTCAGTTTCTCTTGGGAGTTAAAATGGCCCCAAGAGAAACTGAAAACAATGCTTATGCAAAATTTTGGGGTGACAAACAAAGAACATTATGGTATGTTATGGTATTTCTGGAGTGGTCAATAGGTGTGCAAGGAATATTCGTGTCTCGCTCAGGTGCGTTTGACTCACGCATCTTGGATGTATCAGACACTATGAGCGTCGTGAACATTATATATACCCGGAGTTGCCGTTATTAAAAATAATGTTTTGAAATAGATTTTATGATGTAACTAAGGCAAAGGAAATTGAATATATTTGTTGTTCATACGATTTGTGCACTCTGTTATTTGCGACTGAGTAAAAGAGAGGAGCAAGTGTAGCGTGTTTGTTTCGGCTCATGGATGAAAGAACGAGTTATGTTCACGTGTAGCGCGCTAGTTTTGGCTCATGCATAAAAGAACGAAGGTAGGGATTATTCATGTGTAGCGCGAGCAAATGAACAAGCAAGGTATACAGTTTAGTGGTTCGAGGACTCGGAGGCTCCTCAGTCGGCCTAACTATTTATAGAACGAGTATGGAATGTAATTTACGTACTCGACAGCTTGGTGGACAAGAACGGGAATAGACACATTTACTGAAATTGTCTTTCGCGCAACACACTTTAAGAACGTGTAATACATAAGTACAAAAGTTTTACTTCACTCATCAAGTTCATGTCACGTTTATTTTGCTTTTATTTCACTCATCAAGTTCAATTAACGTGTATTTTGCGATCATACATGTATGTAAATTATGTCGACTGCGGGACTGCGGTAGCAAGGATCAACAAGGTCAACACCAACGCGCACGATGCAAGCGGCATATTTCGTGATGTTTATTTACAGATATTAGGTAAAGTATGTCGACTACGGGACTGCGGTAGCAGGATTTGATGAATGATATTTCAGTGGCCGGGTATTCTGAAGTTGACATATTGGTGGTGCCAGGATCTTGATCAGGCGCAAATAAAACATGAAGTAGGACTTGCTGAAAGCACTGGGGTGGATTGGGACAGCTTCTGTCGCGAAGTTTGCGAAATCACTCTACTGGAAAACAGTGACAAACTCGGCGGAAAAGGAAAAGTCGTACAGATCGACGAAAGTAAATTTGGCAAGAGGAAATACCCCCGAGGTCATCACGTCGAAGGCCAGTGGGTCTTTGGGGGAATCGAGGAAGACAGCAGGAAATGTTTCCTGGTGGCAGTGGAAAAACGGGACGAACAAACACTACTGCCCATCATCCAAAAATGGATTGAACCTGGAACTATTATTGTTTCTGATTGCTGGAAAGCGTACTCGAAACTTGAGCACATGGTTATGAACACCGAACAGTTAATCACTCAGTAGAATTTGTGAACAAAGACGGTCACCATACCAATAAAATTGAAGGTCATTGGAGGCATGCAAAGTGTAAACTACCTAAGTTTGGCGTTCTAAAGCATCTTTTCTCGACATATTTGGCGGAATTTATTTGGAGGTACATGCACCGCGATGAAGACTTGTTTAGTGTATTTTTGAATGATGTAAAGAAAGTGTATGCCACCAGTACAACAAAGCGTTAACTTTTCAAAGCATGTTACAAAATATTCCAATAGGTGTGCAAGGAATATTCGTGTCTCGCTCAGGTGCGTTTGACTCACGCATCTTGGATGTATCAGACACTATGAGCGTCGTGAACATTATATATACCCGGAGTTGCTGTTATTAAAAATAATGTTTTGAAATAGATTTTATGATGTAACTAAGGCAAAGGAAATTGAATATATTTGTTGTTCATACGATTTGTGCACTCTGTTATTTGCGACTGAGTAAAAGAGAGGAGCAAGTGTAGCGTGTTTGTTTCGGCTCATGGATGAAAGAACGAGTTATGTTCACGTGTAGCGCGCTAGTTTTAGCTCATGCATAAAAGAACGAAGGTAGGGATTATTCATGTGTAGCGCGAGCAAATGAACAAGCAAGGTATACAGTTTAGTGGTTCGAGGACTCGGAGGCTCCTCAGTCGGCCTAACTATTTATAGAACGAGTATGGAACGTCATTGTAGGCGAATCGACTTGTAGGCGAAACGACTTGTAGGCGAAACGACCGGTTTCCTAATTTACGTACTCGACAGCTTGGTGGACAAGAACGGGAATAGACACATTTACTGAAATTGTCTTTCGCGCAACACACTTTAAGAACGTGTAATACATAAGTACAAAAGTTTTACTTCACTCATCAAGTTCATGTCACGTTTATTTTGCTTTTATTTCACTCATCAAGTTCAATTAACGTGTATTTTGCGATCATACATGTATGTAAATTATGTCGACCGCGGGACTGCGGTTAGCCTGAGTATCAGGCCTTCCTACGGGGCTAGGGGAGAGGAGATTTTTCCCCTTTTCCCCAGAAACGCCTGATACTCAGGCTAGACTGCGGTAGCAAGGATCAACAAGGTCAACACCAACGCGCACGATGCAAGCGGCATATTTCGTGATGTTTATATACAGATATTAGGTAAAGTATGTGGACTGCGGGACTGCGGTAGCAGGATTTGATGAATGATATTTCAGTGGCCGGAATAGCGATATTAGCCTAGCGTTTTGTCTTTCTTGGCCTCTGTTGTTCGCCGCTCGATGGCGTCCCAAGCTAATCTGCAGAAGCAACGCGAAGCACTCACCCGTTGCTATGTGACGTCACACTTGCACGAGGAATGGGTCAATAAACGTAATTCGAAAACAATAGAGTCGCCCCTTCTCTCCTGGGCGCGTCAATGTTTACGTGACTATATTTTTTTCCTCACAGTTAAACGTATGTTTTTATCCTGAAACTGAGAGAAAGTGTAATCTAAAATGATTGTAAAATCCATATCTAGGTGCCGGAAAACTATTAATTCACCGAAAAATTGTTATTGAGAGAAAACAACTTTGCAAAGAATGATCTCACGCCATAGCCCGCACAGCTCGCGGAGATGACAACAACAATACTCACCTCTTTTCCTTACTATCGGTTAACAAATTCAAACGTTTCCTCTTAAATTTCCTTATAAAACACATGGTAAACGTTTTATCGTGTACTGCCGAGTTATGAATGCACTCAGGAGACTCAGGATTGCTAAGCTCACAACAACTCGAGGAATTACGAATAATTTATTGACGTCATCAGCGTGCTCAATAGGAATATGAAGCACGCTCGCGCTATTGAATTTGATTAGGGGAATTTTCTACCTAGATGTTATAATACATTTTGTATATACAGTCTAAAGATGAGGAATCTCTAGTCAAACAAGCTTTTTTAATGTCATTCGACTTACACTGCCAGAATGGCAAAAATAGCTTCCACTCTCAT